CCCCAGTGTCAATATCTGGTCATTCTCCAAATCTGATCACACAACTAACTCATGCCCCGGCCACCCCACCACCACCACCACCCCCGTGACGTCTGATCACTCTGGCCAGACTTCAGCAAGAATTTGCCTTATACTTGATATTTCCCTTTAATAATTCCCTATCCATCACTCCTCACCCCCACCCACCAGTCTCCCTGCCCTACCTGTAAATTTCTACTTTCCCTTAAATTCAGAATTAAACCCAGTTCTATACTGAAGTCTTCCCTGCCTCCCCACTGTAAAAGTATTTCTAAATAAAATGTTTTTACTGCTTTAACTACTAGTATTTCCAGTTCTGTTTTTTCTTTATTATCTGTTAGGCCTCTGCTATCTTATGGAAAGCTAGCTGTCTCTTGTAGGCTTTCTTCTCGTCTCTCCTTTTGAAACAAATGTAGTGAGTTATCTCCTTAGCTTTAGTCTTCTCTAAGAAAAACATGTAAGGATTATGTTTCCAGTAGATGGAGAAAAGCTTTATTTGCAGTGTAAGCATATCAGAAAGAAATGTTCTGTGTTGGATGTGCGCGCACATGTACTTTTTAGATAAGACTTTATTTTTTAGAATAATTTTGAGATTCACAGAAGAATTGAGCATAAAGTACAGAGTTCCTAATATACTCCACTCCCTAACCCCAGTCTCTCCACAGTCTTTTAAGAGAAACAGGAAGCACATGGCTAAAAAATATATACGGCATTTCCACTGGTTGAAAATAAATGTCTCTTTGGAATGTTAACAGTGAACCCTGGATCCTGGTGGGGCCCAAGTGGACTATGTTATTTTCATTTGCATACATTTCCTAACTTTCCTACCTAGATGCCATTTTCACAATCCTGAGGATTTCATTTTATTATCATTTTCAATAAAAATGAGCAGGAAACCATGAATTAGTACAGTGTGTCCAGTAAAGGCTTGATGAACACACGTATACATTCAGAGTATTCTTGTTCTGTTGTTTTTGTTAGCGGCATATGCCCTCACCAGAGACAGAGTAAGAAAGGATCCACAATGGGAATGGTTACACAGCAAGCTCATCTCCATCTCTCCTTCCTCTTGGAATTTTGGGCTCACGAACACAGGTGCCCGATGTGTTTCTTAAGCAGCTGGGTCCAGGACTCAACCATGGAGTAGGTCAAGTGAGATCGAGCCACCTCAATCACCATGCCACCGAATGGCCCCAATAAGAGTATTCTTAAGCAATTCACCAATCTCTTCCCTCTCAAAACATGGAGAGGCAAGATTTCACAGTGACTGAAAAGCAGAATGACAGCCCCTTATTGAGCTCCAGGTCAGCTCAGCACTTAACAGGTTCGTCTCTGCACTGCCAAATGATTTCATCTTCAGCTCCCAACCAAAGGTTTGGGGGAGGGGAAAGGGCCTGATGTCTAACTAGGAGTTTCCTTCAATATGGAAGTACAGTCACACTGCAGCAACTTTAAAGACTACTACTCCTTCCCAACGCGCCCTTTCTACTGACAGCGCGAGCCCACAAAATAAACAGCTTCCCTGGCTCCTTTTTTCTGTTACCTGTTTTTTTCAGTACCTCACACCTTGTAACAAGAGTTCCCTCAAATTACCAAGAAAAGTACAGGAAGACACAGCTATTAAGCATACTACAGAAAACACTACTCACTATAAAAATTTCCACTGCTTGATTCCCATGAGCTAGTGGGGAAAAAGCTAAGGCTGCTGCAGCTGGTCCCCAGTGCCTCCTGCTGTGAGATTGAGTGCACTCCCCCAAGAACTCTCTAGTGAGAGAAAACAGGGATGAAGGGCACTGAGAGGAAGGGCACGGAGTGGCTAGAACTCCAAGATTAACTCCCTCCACCAAGGCCCCAGCCTCAAGCTGAAAGTTCCATAAGTGACTGGCTACCAGCCCTCCCTGCAGCCTTCCTTTAAATAAAACAGGTTCCCTGAGGAGGAAGAAAAGCCAGAAAACCACAAATCTGAGAACTGAACACTAAGCCAGACTAAAACAGAACGTTTAGTGGCACCTACTGCATCCGGAGCACAACACACAACAATAATGCTTATAGAGGGTGTTACAGACCCATCATCTACCTGAAACTTCTGTGACCACAGCTGTAGCAGAATTTAGAATTTTAGGTGTTTTTAAAAAACAGGCAACAAATGCCTATACAGCCCCAGTCAGGGCGGAGTAGCATCCCATAATTGACCATTGACATTTCTTCAACAAAATATTTGAATATATTCAAGGTGGGGGGGGAGGGGCGGGGAGCAGGCTCCAATGGGGTATGGCCACATCACAATCTTTTTTCTTCCATTTTTCCATTCTGTCATGATCTGGGGCATACATAGGTGCCCTGTGTGTTTTTCAAGCCACCAGGGCCGGGACTTGAACCGCAGCGGACCATGTGGGATTCAGCTCACCAACATTTAACTATACTTAGTGGAATAAATGACACTTCAATTTTTAATCAAGTTAGGTTTTGCTGCCAGGTGATTCTGAGCCAGACTTAAGAAAATCTATTTGTCGGGAACCAGCAGTTGGCGTAATGGCTATGTCACTGGACTCCCATGTAGTCGACCGCGGTTCGAGTCCTGGACCCGGTGGCTTAAAACTCACACTGGGCGCGTGTGTGTGCGTGCCCAAGATCCCGAGAGGAGAATGGAGAAGGGATTGCGGCGTGACCATCCCCCCGGGGGGTGATTTCTCACTTTCTGTCTCTATGTCTCTCTCTCTCTGTCTGGTGAGCGCACGCTCCCTATAGCGAAAACCTCTCCAAAAAAAAAAAAAAAAAGAAAGGAAAAGAAAAAGAAAATCTATTTGTCTTCAGACCATTCTGGAGTTGAGAAATGGTGGTGAAGGAATTCTGATCCTGAATCTTTATTTTACAGAGGCTGAAACTATCGCTCGTAGGTTAAGTTACCAAAGGTTGTTCGCTAACACGAATCAAGAATTAGACTTATTAATAAGACTTAAGAGAAGATATTAGTCTAAAAAGAATTTAGATTTGATAGAAGCCAGATTTCCCTACTGATAAAAAGGCCTGATTTTTTTTCATTATGTGGCTTCTAGGTGATGTCACACAACTTACAGGGAACAGTATGTCCCTAGATTTATTGAAATATCAGTATAAATCAAGTTTAACTGAACCTTGAATACAAACCCTTCTGTAATAAAAATAAATAGCCTTTAATACCTGCTAAACATACATTTTTTTTCCCTCAGCTTGTTTTTATGTAAGAGAAAAACTAAGATAACATTGAGTCAGCAGGTGGTATGGTGGTTAAGGCACTGGACTCCCACATGGTCAGCCATGGTTCAAGTCCCAGACCTGGTGGCTTGCTTTCTCACTTCCTTCTCTGTCTCTCTCTCTCTGGTGAGCACATGGGCCCTACGACAAATTTAAAAATAATTATAGTAAATAAAATAATTTTTTAAAACTAAAATAATGTTAAATTTAAGGAAATGTTCTTTTCTACTTCCTATTTCCTCTAGTTAGAAGTATACTTAACTACTTTTTTAAAATGGCTCATGGAGGGTTAAAAAGTGTGGGCCAGGGACCAGTGAATGGCGTAATAGTTAAGTGACTGGAAACCCACATAGTTGACCGTGTGATTCCAGTTCGAGACCCAGTGGTTTAAACTTACTCCAGGGGTGTGTACATGTGTGCCCAAGATCCCAAGAGGAGAGTGGAGGGGAAGGGATTGTGGCAGGGCCATTTCCTCCGCGGGGGTGGGAGGTGATTTCTCACTTTCTCTCTCCCCAGCAAGTGCACACGCCCTATAGCAAATATCTACCTTTTAAAAAAAAAAAAAAAAAGTGCACTCCAGCTGGTAGCCTGGTGGTTAAAGTGGTTGGATTCCACAGCTGACTGTGCAGTTTAAGTCCCAGACTCAGTAGCTTGAAACATGCTAGGCACGCATGCATGTCCAAAATCTGTAGAAGAAGAAATGGAGGGAAAGGGATAGCAGCATGACATGGCCCACTGGAGGTGCTTTCTCACTTTCCCCTTGTCTCTGTCTCTGGTGAGTGCACATTCCTTCTCACATTATTTATTAATTGATCAGGAAAACTCAAATTAACAAAACAATACTACACTTTATTGTTCATTAGATCTCAGAGCTAGAAGAAAAGACAGGCCAAGTCTCACTTTTTAAAAATGCAAAAAGAGAGGATCAGACTGTGATGCAGTGGTAAACCATGAAGCTCTGCAAGGCAATCCTATATGGAAAGGTCCCCAGTTCAAGTCCAGAGACCTCTTTGAGTAT